CTCCCTTCCTCTCTGTAAAAAATCAATAAAATATATTAAAAAATATATATATATATGTTTTTATTGCCTGACCAGCAAGGCTTGGTGGTTGAGCATCAACCTAGAAACCAGGAGGTCGCGGTTTGATTCCCAATCAGAGCACATGCCCGGGTTGCGGGCTCCATCCCCAGTAGGAGGCGTGCAGAAGGCAGCTGATCCATGATTCTCTCTCATCATTGATGCTTCTCTCTCTCTCTCTCTCTCTCCTTTCCTCTCTTAAAAATATATTTAAAAAAATGTTTTTATTTATTTTAGAGGGGCACATGCAGAAGGCAACCAATCAGTTTGTCTCTCTCTCATTGATGCTTCTCTCTGTCTTTCCCTCTCTCTAAAAATCAATGGGAAAATATTAAAAAGAGAGAGAGAGAGAGAGAGAGAGGGAGGACACAGTTTCCTCCTTCGTGGCCCAGCTGACCGACCAGCGTGTAGTGGAAAGAGCGAGGGACGGAGCCCAGAAGGGCCGGGCCACCAGCACAAAGACACAACGGCCCCTCCCTGGGCGGCAAGGCCGGATGCTCCGTGGAAGGGAGCGGGCTCGCCCTGGCCCTCGGTGCTGAGGGAGGCCATTGGGGGGGGTGGCGGCTCCTCAATGGCGGGGATTCTTTTCTATTTCCAGCCGGGGTCTCAGAGGCGCCCTTTGTCCCTCAGACAAGCAGCCCCAGTTGAGCCCAGGGCTGCAACTGCCCGACATCCAACTCTGCAGGAAGTGGCCGCCCCGACCCATAGCCCAGGGCTGCATTCTCCTTTTAGAGTCGCTGAGCGAGAGGATGATGATTTATAAAGGAAGAGAGGCCGGTGTGGCTCAGTGGTTGAGCGTCGACCTAGGTATCAGGAGGTCACGGTTCCATTCCCGGTCAGGGCACAGGCCCGGGTTGTGGGCTCCATCCCCAGTGTGGGGCGTGCAGGAGGCGGCCCATCCATGACTCTCTCTCATCATGGATGCTTCTCTCTCTCTCCCTCTCCCTTCCTCTCTGAAATCAATAAAAATATATTTAAAACACACACACACACACACACACCTGAATTTGCACCCTGGCCAATGGTTAGAGCGTCGGCCCACAGACGGAAGGGTCTCGGGTTCGATTCCCGGTCAAGGGCACGTACCGGGGTTGTGAGTTCGTGCCCCGTCCCCCGTCGGGGTGCATGCGGGAGGCAACCAGTCCACGTGTCTCTCTCACATCAATGTTTCTCTCCCTCGGTCTCTCCCCCGCCCTCCCTGCCACTCTCTCTAAAGATCCATGGAAAAAAGAAATATCCTCGGGGGAAGGATTAACAACAACAGCAACAACAAAGACATAAAAACCGAATGTGCCAATCACGGTCGTGTCGCTTTCATGATGTGGCCAAGCTCGGGCTCTTACTATCCCGTGGGCACCGCGGTCCCGATGGCAGCGGTGACTGGCAGACAATAGGGGGAGGGGAAGGTCCTCGGGGGAGGAGGGGACGTGGCCCTGCGGTCCCCGCTCCCCACGATGACACTGACACTGAGGACAGGACGGGGAGGGGTGCCCGGGACTCCGAGTCCGCACACACATTGCAGACGGGTGAGCTTACCGCCCGCCACGGGGGAAACAGAACTGTGTTTGAAAAAGCCAGTTTGGCAGCTGAGCCCGGAGACTGGCTGTCTTTGCAGGAAGAGCCACGCTGACCCGGGAGGGAGCTGCCCTCGCTTGGATTCGGGGCAAGCACGAGGGCCAGGGAGGGAGGGAGGGAGGAGAGCTCAGGTCCCCAGGCGATGCACCCCAGTGTTCCTCCACCCAGGAGCAATTGCAGTGTCCTGGCTGCGTGAGGGATGGACTGCTCATTCCTTCACCAGATCAGGAAAGGAAAGAACCGCCCAGCCGGCGTGGCTCAGTGGTTGAGCGTCGACCTGTGAACCAGGAGGTTACGGTTCGATTCCCGGTCAGGGCACATGCCCGGGTTGTACCCTCGATCCCCAGTAGGGGGCGTGCAGGAGGCAGCCAATCCATGGTTCTCTCTCATCTTGGATGTTTCTCTCTCTCTCCCTCTCCCTTCCTCTCTGAAATCAATAAAAATATATTTAAAACACACACACACCTGAATTTGCACCCTGGCCAATGGTTAGAGCGTCGGCCCACAGACGGAAGGGTCTCGGGTTCGATTCCCGGTCAAGGGCACGTACCGGGGTTGTGAGTTCGTGCCCCGTCCCCCGTCGGGGCGCATGCGGGAGGCAACCAGTCCACGTGTCTCTCTCACATCAATGTTTCTCTCCCTCGGTCTCTCCCCCGCCCTCCCTCTGGAAGGCGGCGTGTGCGGCCTCCACGGCCTTGTCCACGTCGGGCTGAGTGGCCAAAACAAGAGAGAGCGTGTCAGCTCGCGAAGACACTACAGTTCGGGATGGAGAGCAGCAGAGACCTGCTCCCCGCATGTGACAGACGAGGGAGGGGGTGGCTGGGGCTTTCAAGGGACAATTTTCTTTTTTACACCTTCGGTCTTTCTCTTTCCTTTTTTTTTTTTTAAACAATAACCTTAAAAAAACACTATATATATAAAAAGCTAAATGTCGGTCCAACTGGTAGCTATGACGCGCACCGACCACCAGGGGGCAGATGCTCATCGCAGGAGCTGCCCCCTTGTGGTGCTGCCCCCTGGTGGTCAGTATGCTCCCACAGGGGGAACACCACTCAGCCAAGAAGCCCAGTAGCTGGGTTCATGCCTGGTGAGCGCAGCAGCAGTGGTTGCCTCTCCCACCTCCATGGCAAAGGTAAGGATGTGCGACTGAATGCTTGCACCTTTGCAGAGTGCCCTCTCGCACTCCGGGACCCCTTGGGGGATGTCGGAGATCTGGTTTCGGCCCACCTGCCAGAGGGATCCTGCTCACTCCACAGACGCCCATCTAGCCATGGTGATGCCCCAGGTGCGGCTGGCAGGGGAGGGACCACGGGAGGTTGGCTCCAAAGCGTGTCTGGCCCTTCTCTCTCACCCAGTCCTGCCCCGCTGGCCACCTTCTAATAAATTTCCTTTCGATGTGCACGAATCAGTGCACTGGGTCACTAGTATTATCATAAGGAGCTAATTATAATATGTTACATGATCACATGAGTTCCTCGTAGAAAAGAAATCTGGCAATTCCGTGACATTATTACGGCTGAGCGACTTGGTTAGCAAGTCTTTCTCCTTCAAGTTTTCTTTTTTTTTTTTTTTAAGTGTCTCCCGGCAGAATGCTGCCTTTGGTGAGACACACCAGCCGGCAATGCTCTCGGGAAAGATCCCTTAATGCCTGCAGGTTGGAATCATGGATAAAAACCTTCCCTCTGGCCACGTGACGAGGATACAGTCATCTTCCCAGATGGGGAAACGTCCATCTGCGGCCCCCGGTCCCTAACTGACCCCATTCTGGGCCCTGCGTCCGAGAAGCAGCGAACCCAGGTCCTCCCCGAGAGGGGACCAGTCCCATCTCACACCTGAGCCGACCCCCCTCCTCATCCTTCCGCCTCCGGAACTGAGTTACCTGGGGTTGCGTGGGGCACACCCACCTTATCTCCTTCCTCCACCTCGCAGATTTGTTCCAGCGTTGAAGGGTTGTAGGTGGCGAACTTTTTCCCGCTCGTGGACTCGTGCCATTCGTTGTTGATGAACATCTACCCAAGAAAGGAAGTTGTAACTTTTTAGGCTTACGTCAATCATCTAAGGACAAGGCAACCTTTTTTTTTTTCTTTTTTCTTTTTTTTCTAAAGAACTGTTTACCCACCTTCAGAGAGAGAGGTAGGGAGAGAAACACTGATGCGAGCGAAACATCGATGTGAGAGGGCAACATGGATCGGCTGCCTCCTGCATACCCCATTCTGGGGATCGAGCCCACAACCCAGGCATCTGCCCTGACCGGGAATCAAACCAGTGACCCTCTGGTGCACAGGACAATCCCCAACCAACTGAGCCACACTGGCCAGGACCAAGTCTCATGTTCAGAGAATTACTTTTGTCATAAGAAAGCAAAAAATATTCAAAAAATTTTCTAAAATCTTCTCTCTCTCTTTTTTTTAAAGCAATAGCATGGATCACAGAGGAATAGCTGAGTTATAGCTATATATATAAAAGCCTAAGCAACCATCTGACCATTCAACCAGTAGCTATGATGTGCACTGACCACCAGGGGGCAGACGCTCAACATACAAGCATGGAAACATGGAACAGATTGATGAATCTCAGAGGGAAGGGGGGAGGGGGAGGGCAGGAAGAGATGAACTAAAGACCTTATATGCATACTAGAGGCCCGGTGCATGGATTTGTGCACTGGTGGGGTTCCTCGGCCTGGCCTGTGGGGATCGGGCCAAAACCAGCAGTCCGACATGCCCCGGGGGGTCCCGGATTACGAGAGGTGTCCCGGATTCTGATCAAGGGCACGTACCTCGGTTGCAGGCTCCTCCCCGGCCTGGGCCCTGGTCAGGGCGTGTGCAGGAGGCAACCCATCGATGTGTTTCTCTCACATCAAGGTCGCTCTCTGTTTTTTTCTCTCTCTCCCACTCTCTCTAAAAGATCAATGGAAAAATATCCTCGAGGGAAGATTAAAAAAAAAAAAAAAAGACAGAGGCCAGCTCTGGCTGGGCAGGTGGGCAGAGCCCCCACCGCCCCCCACGCACCCACGCGGTGTGGAATCCGGAGCTGCCAGCGCCCCTCGCTCGCCAGCGATGTGCCTGCCCTTCTGACTTTTGGGAGCTCAGCGCCAGGCCCCCAGAGAAACCCGCCCTCGGACGGACGGGGGCCAGCTTCAATTACAGCGTTATTCTTCCAGCGGAAACCGAATCCCCGGGTTGACTTTCGCCATCCAGCCGGCCCTCGCTGGGGAGCAGCGAGACATTAATAAGCCGGGGAGGGAGAAGCTGGCCCAGGAGGGGCGTGTGGCCAGCGGCGGGAGAGGCCCATTTGTCGGAGGATGGAATTTCGTGGCTGAGATAATAGAGACTGTCAGCGAAAACTGCTGAATCCGGAGCTTCCGGGTATCAGTTCCAAGGGGGAGGGCGGAAAGTGAGAAGGTGGCAGCAGAGAATATACATAAAGGCGAGGGAGCGATCGGGTGTCTGTGAGACTTCACCTCCACGCATGTTCCTACCCCCCAAAAATTACCTGGTCGGTCGTGACATTGACCTGTAAGTCCTCTCTAACCAGCAACTTACTGTTTTTAAAATATATTTTTTATTGATCTCAGAGAGGAAGGGAGAGGGAGAGAGAGAGAGAGAGAGAAACATCAATGATGAGAGAGCATCACTGATCAGCTGCCTACTGCACGCCCCACAACTGGGGATCCAGCCCGCAACCCGGGCATGTGCCCTGACCGGAATCGAACCGTGACCTCCTGGTTCCTAGGTCATTGCTCAATCGCTGAGCCACGCCAGCCGCCCTCTAACCAGCAACTTAAAAAAAAAAAATGCAGACTGCTCAACTCCAGCCGTATTTTTCCCATGGTGATGTTTCTAATTTAGCAACGTTTTTTTCTTTAGACTACACTCGTAAGTGATCTCGTAAGCGGTTTCCACTGTGGATTCTAGGAGAAAACAAAAACACAAATGAAGGAGGAGGCGGGCAGCATGGCCGGCCTGCCTGCCAGTCTGCTCGCTGCGTTTTTTTCTTTATTTTTTATTGGTTGCTCATCCTCACCCGAGGGTATTTTTTTTTCTCCATTGAATTTTAGAGAGAGTGGAAGGGAGGGGGAGAGACACAGAGAGAGAAACAGCGATGGGAGAGAGACACACCGATTGGTTGCCTCCTGCACGCACCCCACCTGGGGCCGGATCCACCCTGAATTTCATCTGCAGCTCAGTATTAGCTCCGTTTATACTTCGGTAAGATTTGTCTCATACCCACGCACAAGCCGAGGGGAGTGACCCTTTCCTAGGCCCATTATTCTGATTTGGGGCTCAAAACAATACAGCTGGCGCCCTGGCCAGGGTTGCTCAGTGGTTAGAACGCCAGCCCGCAGACTGAAGGGTCCCAGGTTCGATTCCTGGTCAAGGGCACGTGCCTGGGTTGCAGTCATCCCCGATCCTGGTATTGCGTGCGGGGGTGGGGGGGGGCAGCCAATGGATGTGTCTCTCCCACATCGATGTTTCTCTCTCTCTGCCTCTCCCCCCTCCCTCCTTCCCTTGGTCCCCTCTACTCTCTTAAAAAAAAAAATCAATGGAAAAAATATCCTCTGTGAGGATTCAAAAACCAAAAAAAAGTGAGAAGCAATCAAGGCGGTGGGTTGGACAAGGTCCTCCTTTTGCAAATTGGACTTCACCCTGGGAAATACCACCCTCAAGGCCCGGGCTCAGGCCCACCACCTCCGGCGCACCCTCCCCGAGCGAGAAGTGCCAAGAACCCGATCTGAAAAGTAACAGACCGTCGCCGGTTCACACGCTCCCCCCTCCCCACGGCCTCCTTGGGCCTCGAGGGCCTCCACGCGGGAGTTCTGCGTCCCGCCTCTTTCTCGGGCTCTGCTGGCTGCCTCTCCGGCCAGAGGTTCTCCAGGCCTGGCCCCGAAGATGCTGGGGGGAGGCCTTTGCAGGGGTGGGAGCTTGCAGAGGCCTCGCCCACCCCAGGGAAGGCGGGTACTGTGGCCAAGGAGCCTGCCTCTCCGTTCCCCTCCATCCCTCTCTCTCTTTTTAAATATTTTTTATTGAAGGAAGAGGAAGAGAGAGATAGAAACATCCATGATGAGAGAGAATCATGGATCGGCTGCCTCCTGCTCGCCCCACGCTGGGGATGGAGCCCGAAACCCGGGCCTGTGCCCTGACCGGGAATCGAACCGTGACCTCCTGGTTCCTAGGTCGATGCTCAACCACCGAGCCACGCCGGCCGGGCTAAGGTGCTGCTTTCTATACGCTGGATAGACTTGCAGAGAAAGACATAACCCTTCCATATGCAGTTGCATCCCTGATAGGACCCCCACTCGTCTATGTAATTTCTGTCCTCTTTATTGTTTTTATAAAAACCCTATAAAACAAAAAATAAAATAAAACAACATCACTACTACCGAGAGGTGAGCACCGACAAAATCCGTGCTGGGATTTTTACCCTGAAGCTGATACCGAGAAGGAAACGACATTAAAAATGATCCCCAGCCCGGCCCGTGTGGCTCAGTGGTTGAGCGTGGACCCATGAACCAGTCCGATTTCCGGTCAGGGCACATGCCCGGGTTGC